GGGATTGACTGTCACATTATAACGCCCCCACGGCTAAAATGGCGAGCATGTTTTGGTGGGATGGTCGCGCGAACCCGCGACCCGCAGATTGCGAGTCGAGCGTCTTACCCACCTGGCCATGCCGGCCTTGTATTCAGAAAGAATAAAACAGTTTTATTTAAGAAAGGACTTGCATCGCTAAAGTTTCATCGGAAAGAAATTATACGGAAAACAAACTAACGACCAGAGACGTAAGAATATGGTCTCAGTAGGTTCAACAATAGTGATTTCCAAAGAATATGCCACGGCACATTGTTGTGTCGGAAATTTCCATTTTTCTATGACAGTTATAAAAAATAAACAGTCACAATGAAATATGTTAGAAAATCAATTCAGTGTAATGACCAAGTAAAAATACAATCACGAACCGGTTTATTTACCAGTATTTGCTTCTTAGGTTTTTATGAATGTGTGTGTGTCGCTTTATTCTCTCTATTTGTTGTGAGTGCCGAGATAATAGGTGTATGTATATTTTATGGTACTTCCAGGTGTACCTTGAGGGGAAAAAAGCTGTTATACTCGGTTAGTGTTTTTCTCGTTACTTCTCAACTTGATTGTGACACTTTATGTATTTAATTTATTGATGGGTGATTCTGGACTAACCAGAAAGACGGCCAATGATGAACGGTAATCAGTCTCGTTTTTCTGTATGTTAGCAAGCTCGGTATTGTCTTCAGATTGATAGCAAGAAGGCTAGCTTTCTGTTTAATATTGCATCCATTTAGTCGAGAAGTAATCTCAGATTGGAGTTACTATACATCTTTAATGGTGTTTTGTCATCATAAACTGTTGGCTGATCTATAGTTCAGGAAGGTGTAGATGGTCTTGGGCTCTAGATTATAACAGTCGTGTAATGTTTTTGGACAGATATGCTAATCTGATTCCTTGGGAAATCATGGTTACAACTACTGGAAAAGTCGACGCAAGCCCTGAGTTTCTAGGTAAAGAGGTGATAGTAACCATAGAATAGCTTTTGATTGAAACTTCCGGACATTCAATAATAGGGTTCTAGGTTGTCTAACTGTCCAGCTTTCCAGATGGTTTTGTATTTGTTGTACCCTTTCTAACAAGATCTTAATATGGCCTCCTATGGCAATCTGTTTTTTCTTTTTTATCTGTTTCTTCGTACTTGAACAAACTTTATACAGTAAGAACATTGCCTGCCACGTCTAGTTTTATAGTGGCAATATTGTCATATGCAGTCTCAGATCTGTGTCTCTACGAAACTTGTTTTCTGTAGTTTCATGGAAATTTTTAACAGAATCTTGTACTTCATCAACTTTATTTCGTATTTCTTTCATGACCTCTTCAATAGCATCCTGTATATTGCTAGATTAGGAATATTAACATGCAAAGTATTTACTATAGCTTCAGGAAGAGTTGTATTAATATTTTATTAATCCCGACTGTCCTCATAAAATCGGTATGCATGTTCTTTCCATACTTCTGAAAATTTCATGGGTCGTTCAGTTTTTAATTTTCCTGTAAAATTCTGTTTCTCTCTTTTTTAAAGCTTCTTTAATTTTTATGGTCACATTTTTATTTATTTATGTCTGATTCTTCACGATATTATTTAAAAACAAAACAAACTCAATTGTTGCCCTTTCTGAAGACTTCTCAAAACTGTAGTCGTTTTTAATTGTCACTTCCATTTCTGGAACAAAATCACGTACCTGGATTAATTTCTTGGGCCTGACAGTAACTCACAGACTTATCAATAAAAATAACCTGATAGTTAATTTGGATGTTAAAATAAGTAAACTGTAAATTGGTCAAGTTTTCTTCTTCTAGTGGACCTCCGGTGGCTCAGCGATAAGCTTGAGGACCTACAACGCTACAGATCGAGGCTCGATATTTGCTGTGAGCACAGTGCAGATAATCGATTGTGCAACTTCGCGCTTAAACACAAACATATTTTCTAGCAAATAGAATACGGCTGGGCATGGCCTAGTGACGAGTGTGCAAAGCTGTAGATATGAAGATCTAAGGTTCGAGCCGTAGTATGCCACTGGACATACTCCGCACTTTCAGTTATGGGGGGGTTATAAGTTTAACAGTCAATCCAGTTATTCGGCTAAGAGCAGTCGTGTAGGTTACCGTGCGGGTGCTGCTATCTGGTTTGTTTGTTTGTTTTGAATTTCGCGCAAAGCTACACGAGGGCTATCTGCGCTAGCCGTCGCTAATTTAGCAGTGTAAGACTAGAGGGAAGGCAGCTAGTCATCACCACCCACCG